ACCAGAGCATGTTCGGTAAGTACCCGTTTCTATCTTTTTGCTTCCCTCATAATCTTGGACGTCTTTACTAACAGGTTGAGTAGACGACCTCCTGACGATACGCCACGAACTGATGCGCGATATGAGTTCTTTGATACAGTCAAAGCTCATCACGCCCCTGAAACAAGCTGAGAAGAATGGTAAAGCCATCTGCCATGAGGAATGCGATCGCCACATACGCATTCATATGCAAGTGCTGATGGAAGCGCCTCCAAAAAAAGAGACCAAGCCGTCGCGAATTGTGGAAGGATTGCGGTTGCTGTCAGACGACCGAAAATTCCACCATAATTCAAGTCGTGACCCTCTTGAGGGATCACGCAAGCCCTTCTGTACCGGGCGGCTGAGCGAGGTCATCTCACAACTCGACAGAATGCTCGAGAATGTGGAAGGCTTCGACCTGACAGACTGGAGACCAGAAGCCAGTCAGGAAGTAGTCTGGGGTGATGACGTCGAGCCAGAATTGCGCTTGGAATGGCCCTACGACCAGAAATTCAACTTTGACTCGGACTATGAGCTTAGTCCCAGATCGAGCGCATCTCCTCCGCCTGGCAAGGGGAAGAAAGAGTGATCATCCAGGACAGGTTTGAGGGTGGACAGCGGAGATTTTCAAGGACGCTGTGAGTGCTAAATTGTGTTTGATCTGTCTGTTTTGTGTCTTACTTGTTTTGTGATCATTTGTCATCTGGCGGTTGTTTCCCCGCACTTGTTGCTTCCTTTTATCACGATCATTTCCACAAAATACAGGTCAGTTGCATCACTTTGTCAGTCCATCATCTTCATATCTTCTACTTGAATTTTCTAGGCTCTCACTAATCATCTGAAACTATCTCAATATGCCACGTGCCAGAGCAACTCTCGATGGAACGGTTCTCGCCGAGTCCGACAACTGGGAGACAGTCGAAGGCAATATCTATGTAAGTATCTTTGTCACTCATTCCGATTATCAAGATAGGAAATAGTAGAAGCTTGGCCGAAAAAACGTATTAATCTGTGATAACCTGAAGTTTCCACCATCAGCTATAAACAAGTTGCTTTTCACTCCAACCGACTTGTCGACTTATTGCCCTTGGAAGGGAGACGCTTCATACTACACGGTAACCGTCGGAGGTATTACCTTTTGCATCGTTATATCGTCTTAGATACGCCAGAAAAATGACCTCTCCGGTACAATATAGATAAATCAATCCCAAATGTGGCGTGGTACTACGCCCAGCCCTTTGACGCCGCGAAGAATATCAAGGATTATGTGGCTTTCTGTCAGTTCCTTGTACCCCGTCATTTTTACTGAAAGGCTTTAATTGACCATTTTCGCTGGCAGACAAGGATAAGGTGGATATCAGCGTCGAGTAGGATAGGATCATTGTATTTGCTGTATGGTGCGGTCAGATTTGCAGCTTATAAACAGTGAACGAATTTATTCATCCTCAAGAGCTCTTTCCCTTTCCATTGCCCGCTTGTGATTCATCTTCATTCCCACTCTCCTGATCATAGTGCTCGTCATACACTTCCTGGTCCAGATCTCGACCCTTAATAGTCAATTTCTGCATCGGCAAGAAGACAAACAACATCCGACACCACTCCGTATCACTCCGATTCCTATACGAATGCGCCGTTCCTCGCTGGATACTCACATCCCCACGCCGCAATGCTCGACTCTGCCCAGAATCCAGGATTAAATCAACCTCGCCCTCCAGAACCACTCCGTAGTCCACGCTAACCGTTCGGTGCATGGGAGTCGTCTTTCCCGGACGCAGGTCAATTGTTCGTAGCACCGTGCCAAGCGAAGTCGTTAGGCCGGGCGAGGTATGGAGGTACTCATCGTAAGCCTGGACGTCAGTTTCGTCGTCCGCAAAAACAGGATTGGATACTGTTGCGTAGAGAAGAGCAATATCCCCATCGTCGCTAATCGGCTTTGAGGGGATGTATTCTGGGATCTGAGAGTGGGAGATGAACACCGACTCGCCCTCGGTGCTGTGGGTTGTGATGTAGCGTTTGGTGATGGGGAGGTTGTTCGAATTTTGCGGCATTCTCAATCTCGGTCCCAACCGCGCTTCTTGTTGATTCACAACTTTGGACGGTTGTATCTTTCCTGCGATTTTCTGCGCTGCACTGATGGCGCGGCGATCAGATCGTAATACATACATCATCGCCCAAAAGGGGGTGAGGTACGGTATCCGACGATTCGCGTCCAGAGAATTCCTGCATCCATGGTAGCTGTTATCAACTACACGGCAGCGTGGCATTTGTCAAGTCGGTCAACAAGTCCGTCCAGTCTGGTGTTGCAAAATTCAAGTCACCGCCACTGTCAAGCATCTCCGTCCATATATCTTCGAGTGGCCGCTCTTGGCTCTCATTTTGATCATTGAGAAAAGATGGGTCTGCGGGGGAATCTTTCTTATCAATCGGGTTTGCCGATTCTTGGTAAGGAACGATTTGCGCTGGCTCTGCAGCAGCGGTAGCACCCAAGGCAGGAGACGAAGGCTGTCCATCGGTGGAGTGCTTGCCAGTTTTCCAGTGCTTCTGCAGCACGCCCATCATGGCCTGGATACCCTGGCTAACCAAAGATGAGGCTCGTTGAGCCTTGCTGAGCATACGACACGCATCAAGCACCTCTTGCTTCCTCTTATCAGCCAGAAGGTCATCCCAGTTGAAGCAGACGTCCATCAGAAGAATCACTGCAGCCATGAAAACGTGATGCATCACAGACCAGACAGCAGATGCTGGCGGCATGAACCTTGGTTCGTCCTCGTCCATGATTCTCTTGATCTCCAGCACTTTACGGGCAGACTGAAGGCAGATTACATGGGAATACGAATAGGCGGGCTCTCGTGCTCCCCGGATAAAGTACAGACGATGCAGGCGGCAGAAACGCGAATGGTAAGCTTGTTGTAAAAGACACCTCTGCCATGCGATCGTCGGCTGGCTGTGATAGAGGGGTGCGAAACGACGCCTGGAGACGGTATCGAGCCGATAGAATTCCGGAAGGTTGTTATATGCTTGATGCAGCTTGCGGTCCAATTCGAGGATTTTGTCGTAACCTACGTCGATTCCATGCATGTGTTCGTAGGCTGTCATGTCCACTATTTCGCGACATACGAGTGCCAGGTTGAGGCGCTGAAGAGTGTAGGACATCTGGGTTGGCTCTGACATTGGGGATGGTGTAGCAACTGCTCTGCCCTGGATGCCTTCATCATCGACATTCAATGGCTCCCGGACATTCATGAGCTGGGGGTTAATCAGATATGTCCACTCCTGGGGGCCGCTCAGGAAACCTAATAGCCTGCAGAAAGAATCAGCCCCGATTTTTATCTCATCGCATGGCAAAGCTTACCAATCAAAACTTGCAATATCCCACCAAAGGCGTCTCTTTAGTTCAAGCTCAAGTGCGTCGAATCCATTCGCTTCCCTTTCTTCACGGCAGCGGGACGAGTCAATACAATGCAGCATGAGATTTTTTGCCTGACTAATAATCGTCCCGAGTAAAAACAGTGAACAGACCGATGAGTGGAAACTGGGATTAGGCAGATAGTGCATGACAATGAGCGACGCCTGGAGTCCCTCAAGGGTAGGACATGCAATGTAATTGCTTCTTATCAACGCGGCACCGGCCAAGAAAGTGAATTCGCGGCTACATCTCTCTGCGAACGTGGAGAGTCCATTGGAATACTGGAAATAAACCGAGCTGGCCAAGATGCTGAACAGTAGCGCTAACTGGGCTGAATTGACGGGTAAGCCTTTGTCGATGCAGTGGTAGATGCCATTGATTTGATCCTCGACACGCGATGGAATGATGACATGATACAGATAATCGATGTATTGGCAATAGTATCTGAACAAAGCCATTGTTTTCGACATCCCTGGGAGGTAAGACACAAGATCGGCCGTCAACGGGTTTTCACTCGATGCTAACCGATGGCGAAAGAAATCTGAGACCACTTCATCGAGGCAGGAATCTCCATTGTCCCTGGATGGGTCATGCGCGGCTTCAGACAGGCTGACTTCGTCTTGCAGATGCCTCGAAACTGCGGTGGAAACTCGATCTGACATGACGATATTTTCTAGCCAGTCCGCTGTTTTGACCGATTCATTATTCCTTTTATTTGGTCGAGGATTCGTGATCGCGCAAGCAGTCACGAAGCCAGTCTCCCTGGGCTCGCCTCTAGTCCCTTGACTTGATGGAACTGTGTTGGTATGGCTTGCATCTCCTGCTTCGACTGTCGAAGGTTCAGTCCTCTCCAGCGACATGCCAAAGCTGCAATCCAGCCTTCGAGTAACACAGCTGCTGCATGGTCGCTGACGATTGCATTTGAGCTTCTTCCGCCGGCAAGATTCGCAGGACACTGGATCTTGTCTTGGGGGCCTTTTCGTCCCTGAATAGGATAAGTTTGGCGCAGATTTGCGCTTCATATTCTTTGTTGTGATTGTTGAAATGATTATTGCTCGTTGCAGGTGAAAAGAGCACGCGGACCAGGGGAGTCACGTGTTCCACAGCTGTGTCAGTCAAGATTCAGGAATGTTGCTGTCTTGCTTCATCACCTCACTGACGGGCAGTCTGCTCAGAGATAGATTGAGAATTGAGAACCTTCGTCAGCCCAGTTTAGGATTATCGGAAGCGATTTGATACCTTAAACGGGGTGTGGTTGCGTCTAGGGATGCGAGATGTGTCTTCCCCTTGTCATCGGAGCTTCCGCGGACTGTCCATGGCGGCGCGGGATGTTGACGGTAGGGAATACAGGCGTCCACTTCCAGCCTTGAATATTGTCCCTCCGTGGAGACTCCGACCATTCTGTATTATGTTCTATAAGTGCTCAAGCACTGGCCTTAAATAACGATGTCTTCTCTTGCTCCATCGCGGACTTTTCATCGTACCAAGCACATTACACTGTCCGACACCAAGAGGATTGTTTTTCTTCTCTTAAAGCTACCTTGTTTACCAAATGGCATCGGAGCGACAGATCAATATGGCTGAGGAGAAGCCGCTTAGCGAGTACACGTACGTCCAGAACTCAACACCACAAAACAATTTATCTCAGAGGATGGACTAACTCGTGCGAATTATCTAGACCACGAGCGAACTTGACCATTTTGGGGTCTTTTACAGGTCTTTTCTGCACAGTGGGCTTCTTGAACTCGTTTGGTATTTTTGAAGAGTACTACGCGAAGAATCAGCTTGCGGACAAGTCTGAATCAACAATCGCATGGCTCGGGGCTCTCAGTATCTTCTTTGTCTTCTCCGTGTCCGTAGTGTCCGGCCCTCTTCTTGACGCCTTCGGACCAAGGGTAAGTCCCTCGTATGCTCCTGGACTGCTATGTAGCTAACAGACTGCTTAGCTATTACTCTACGTAGGCTCGTCCGGGACTGTATTCTCAATTATGATGACCTCGCTCTGCAAGGAATTCTACCAGTTTATTCTTGCGCAAGGTATCTTGCTCGGTGTGTCGCTGGCACTTTTGGTGTGCCCCATGCTTGCTCTCGTCGGTCAGTATATCAAGGTCAAGCGTGGAGCCGCTATGGGGATCGTCATTGCAGGTTCATCCCTAGGCGGTGTTACCTGGCCCATTGTCATTAACGAGCTTTTGAAAAAGCCCAAGATTCGATTTGAATGGACGATGCGCATCGTTGGATTCATTATGATGCCCCTTCTTGCCATTTCATGTCTCTGTTGTCGGCCTCCTAAGGCTCCAGCAACCACGAAGACGCTGCCAGAGAGACCAGAGGCCAACAAGGGTGTGATGCCAGAGCAGGAACCTGCCAATACTCCCAAAGCAGGATTTTCGATCTTGAGAGAGCCCAGGATGCAGGTGACTTGCCTGGCATTTTTCATCACTTATTTCGGAATGTTTTCCCCTTTCTTCTTCACTACATCCTATGCCGTGGCACAGGGCTTCTCCGCCGACTTGTCATTCTACACAATCTCCATTATTAACGGAGCGTCCTTCTTCGGCCGCATTATTCCAGGCATCCTTGCGGATCGATACGGTCGGTTCAACACCTGCATTCTCGCGACACTGTTATCCGGTGTCATCGCATTATGCTGGACAACTGCCACGTCCGTTGCAGGCTTGGTAGTTTGGTCGGCAGCGTATGGATTCACGTCTGGAGTGCGCTTTATTCAAGTCTTCGTCCCTTCCATACTAGGCGCTAACGCTCTCCTAGGCTATTCTCTCCCTCCAACAAGCCTGCGCAGCCCAAATCGCAACACCGGGGACCTTGGGCTTATCTATTGGTGCTGTTATGGCGTCTACATCTCTTTCGTATGTACTTACATTTTTCAATATCCAAAGCTAACTTTTACACAGCGCAATGGCGGGTATCCCTATCAGTGGCGAACTGGCTGGCAAATACGGATATCTTTCGCTTTCTATCTACTCCGGTGTCAGTCTCTTAGCCGGTACGCTGCTACTTGTGGTAGCGCGTCTGATGCAGAATCGGGCCTTGCTAGCATCTGTCTGAGGTGGCGCAATGTGCTTGTGTAATAGACACTGATAACCAAGATGTTGACCGGAAGAGAATGGCCCTCATCTTCAACAGTTGCGACGGACCATTGAGCTACAGTGCGATAGGCGCAGGCCACAACTGAAATGATGATGTAATTCTAGTCTACAATAACATCACAAAAGAATGAATGGAATAAAACCATAAAACCATCAAGATTGCAAAGGTGCAAAAAGGGTCGAAGAAAATAAAATTGAAAGGCAAAAAATGGACTCGCGGGGAATCGAACCCCGGACCACCCCCATGCTAAGGGGGTATTATACCACTAAACCACAAGCCCATTTGTTGAAAGACGGAGGCGTCTTGTGCTATACAAACAGGCATCTTATATTGACAAACCTAATGTTTCCATTGTGGTCATCTCCGTCAACAGCTTCTGCAGAGATCAATAAGAAGTTTAAATCAAATTAGAAGAGTTCTATTGCAGAAGAAATGACCCAACATATTTATGCTATTGGCTTTCTGTACTTGATCGATAATAAGGCTTCCATCCAAAGGTCTACTGTTGACGCGAATCCTCGCGACCGTCCTGCCAGCTGGTACAGTTGACGCAGCGCAATGCCTAAAACATATTAGAACGCTGGACATTAGAGTTGGAATAGGAGATAAAGAAATACCTTCTCACTGATGTACTTCCGGCAGTATTTGCATCGCACAGTTTGCTTAATGACTTGATCATGGGAGATCCACGTGTAGAGATGTCCGATCGCATACAATGTAAGACTGACACCGACAAAGCTGATGACTGTCTCGAGGAATGCGCTGTGCCACTCTGTCAGCTCGACAAATTCAAAGGAGTTGTCGCATAATCTCGCTTGGAGAGCATACCCATAAGCCAGTACCAGGGCGCCGTCGCTTCGCGCCTGCTCGAGGGTATTGTACCCTTTCTCCTTGACATAATGCGGCCCGCGTCGGAGCACGGAAAACTTCTCGTCGAAGTTGCGATGCAAAAATGGAAGAAGAGCGACGATGGGAAGAATGATATCCGAGACAAAAGAAGTAACCACCTTGGTAAATGCTTGAGCGATACTAAACGATGTTAGTCAATTCCTTTGAGAGGACAAGAACGTTCTACATCAAACCTAATGCAACCTCGAGAACGTTGTCTCGCACAGCAAAATTGACGAAGCCATCCCAAGCACGCTTGACCGTACTCTGGGCGCTGTGGCCTGCTCGAAGGAGCGCTTCGGTGCTATCGTCGAGGCGAGGCATGTCTGCTGTCGAATGTGTCGAGATGTGATGTTGAAGAGCATCAGTGTGGAGTCGTAACTGTGGCAGGCTGATCATTTATATTTGTGTTAAACGCGTTGCTTTCATCATCCCGTCATGTGCCGCTGTCAATCAATAACGACAAAACTTGGAAGTGATTATGCATAGCCAATCATTTTCATGGACGAGATTAAGGCTATGAATTCGAGTCTGTTTCTTGACAGGGCAGAGGCTGCAATCATCTTGTATAGTACTGTGATTACCATCCTAAGGATTCTTTTACTACTACGGTAATAACGACCTAAAGAGTCATAATTGGAGCATATGTGTTCTAGTTTCCACACACCACAAGTCCACTTTTCAACCTCTCTCCTAGGTAGATACGCTTAGGTGAACAGCATGAATAATGGCAATGGCATACAGCAAAGCAAAAAAAAAAAATAAAATAAAATAAAAAGGAAAAAAAAAAAAAAACATACGACAGCCAAACTATGGTGATGCTCACCTAGTGCCCACTGTTTGGTTGTGGGTGGCTCGCTGCTTTATGCAGCTGGCCTTCAGGTGGCTTTAGGCGGCAGTTCACCCACCTGAATATTCTTCACCTGGAGGGGTGAATCCCTACCCTAAAATGTGCATTTGTATATTTTGATAAAGGGAAAGATTTTGTGATGTGGGAGTAGATACTATGTCCTTGCCTTTGGTGTAGTTGCTGCTAGTTGCCCTTACCCTTTTCTATACCTCTTCTAGTTTACTCTTATCCCTCTGTTGTTTCCCTCTTGCTTTAACTTGATGGTAATTATGGTGAAAAAGGACCCTCTGCTGTCTTACACTTGTAATGTGGTAAACCTGAGCTACTTTAATAACTCTAAAATCAGATGGGCAGTCCTGCTGTGTATAGAGAGCGACTATGAGTGTGCACTAAGGATCTTTGATAAGTTAGTGTGTAGTTTTATATAGAATTTCATAGATTAGCTATCTTCTAGATTCCTTAAGCTTTATCCCAAAGCTAAAAACTCTCCTGACCTCTAGACCTGTAAAGGATTCCTTGTCTGGGTTGCTAAAGGGAAACTAGGCTGAATTGAGCCTTTGCCCACTGTGGAAATCATGCAGGGATTTTGGAGGGACTTTCAAGCTGGGATGTTATGTATATGAGATATCAAATTTTCTGGGGAATTTTCCACCACAATTAAAGAGGTTTGAAGCATAATATATGATAAAATGCCTCTTGTGGTACATACTCTAATCTATTTACTTAGTTTATTATAGGAGATCTTTGGAAGGAAGTTCTAATATCTACTGCTAAAATAGACTATAGTGGGCTTTTACTTAATGATATTATCATCCTCTTGATGCAGCCCTGGTGTTGGGATAGCCATGAATTTTGTGGTGAGATCCCTGATAGAGTAAGAGTGTAACTTAGTGTGGTGATGCTACTCTATTACTTTATATCTGCAAGGATAGGGGAAGTTTATGAGTCCATAGCCTAGAGAGGTTTAGCAAGGGTGCCTAGAGAGGATGAAACTGATAAAGAGCTGGAGGCCTGGGTGATGGCAGCTTGCTATAAGGTGAAATTTTAAAGGAAATAAATGATATAGTTTGGAGTTAATATATCTACTAGCACTTTATACTTATTATTGAGAGTGTGGATAACATGCTGATGCTTGTTCTTACCTACATGTGAAAATTTGTGAAGGGGTATTGGAGGAAGAAGGCATGGGATATTCCTGTGCATGCTTTCTATGAAACCTATATAGAGGATGTATCCCTTTTCCTGAATTTTCTTACATTCTTTTTGCTAATGGTATCTGTGGATAAAGCCTTCTGAGATTACTCCTCAGTGGGGGAAATCCTGGATCAGGCTAATGCTTATGCTAAGGCTATTCTGTCAGAGAACAAGGTCCTAGAAGTTATCTATTTTGTAGAGAGTGTGTATGAGACAGAGACACTAGTCTTCTGGTAGTATAGAGAGCTTGATATGGATAAGTCCATAGGCAAAGCTTGAGGGGCAGATGCCTTTGGAAAGGAGTTTGTGGAGCTAGGTCACCACAGTGGTTACATGTGAAATATCATGATTTGTGCCTGCCACAGATGGGTACTTATACAAGCATAGAAGCAATATATGGGATATGGAGGTGAATAACTCAGCTTTGCTAACAGTGACACAGACAAAGCTTATTCAGAGTCTGCAAGGATGATATTTGCGGGGCAGACGAATTGAGATACTTATGGGAGATTCTATTCCCATCCTGTTAGTGAAATAGATGGACTAGTAAACTACCTTGGAATTATAAGTTGAAGTGAGCATATTGAAAACCACTGTGGAATGGGAATATATTAGAATTCATACCTTTTCTAATCTCTTCCTATAAAGGTAGAGTTTGAGTTTCTGGACTGAAGTGATATCAGGGCTCTTGATGAAGAAATGTGCTCTCTAAGTGCATAACTATTAACTGCTACAACTCCTGAGGAAAGATATGGTATTTAAATCAAGCAAAAGCTTGTATATAGCTATAAGTAATGGCTTTATAAAGAGGAGCTTAAGGGGCTGAGAGCTACCTAATCAAGTAAGCTACCTGGCTCTAATAAGAGTTAGGTTAATATGGATTGGACGTGTTCAAATACAGCAGGATGACAGAGTACAGACTCCTGTTCAAATGCAGTGTGATAGGGGCTGCATGAGTTTGCAGCGTACTTGAGCACAGATCCTTCCCCGTGGTTCATTCTATCCAATCATTTATACCATGGGGTAGGGCACACCTAGGCCCCTTAACAGGTTGTAAAGCATTCCCCCTTCCCCCCCAAAAACTGCCTACCCACCTCTTCCAAACAATCTTCTTTACTTCAAGCAAATATGCCATCTTCCCGCCAATTCCAATTCAACGGTGACGACGAGGCATATATCAAGTTTCTTGAGCGTAGAGTGCTCGAGCTTGAACATAACCTGAGAAGTCCATCTCGTATAGCAGTCAATTCCCAAGAATCGAGATCTATAGCTACCCGGGCAAGCTCGCGGAGTGGCACTGGTGGTCCTCGCCCAACCAAAAGGAGTGATAAATCAGCAAACCAACGTTTCATTGGATTTGTCCTACCTCAAGACAGGACACCGACTGGCACACGGAAAAGACGACTGTCTGGCTTAGACATCCTTCTGGAGAAAATTCCGCCTTTATCAAAATGGAGATCAGATGAATACAATCTGCCGTGCCGAAACCATGACGTTTTAAAAGGGCTGGTTATAAATGATCAGCCGTCCGATAACACCCTAGACCCTCCGCAAACTATTGATATTATTTCCATCTTGCATCGATTCTCCAACTTGGCATCGAATATTGGTTCGGAGAAAGGATTTCTGGCAAAAATGGCCCGCTTCCGGGAGCTTGTCTTCATGTCATTATGTGTTGTTGCATTAGACTTCAACCTGGCAGACGATACTACCGGAGTATTTAGCATCATGCGATCTTTTATTGGCTCTGATGCTCGCGAGAAGCATTTGCGCAATCTTCTTCGTGGTATTACCTGGGCTAATCAATTGATCTCTGCTCTATCTACAACGGGCTGGGCACTAGGTTGCTCATATGTCCTCTTTTTAGGTTGGCAACCTATTATTCTAGGTTCGATTTTTGCTAAGAATTGGAAAGGTGCGCAGACCTCTGACTTTTATGCACGATGCGCCGAGGACCGTGGAAGTCAAAAATACTTTTTGGACAGGATGAAAAGCAAGTCCAAAAATCCACCAAGAGAAGATACTC